TATATATATATATATTTGCATACAGCAATCTTTCATCTATCTATCTATGTATATATATATATATATATATATATATATATAAAGTGAACATTGAAGTCAACACTCAGAGGCGACAGGCTGTTTCATGCTGGACGCAATCATCAGGCCAAATTGCGTCTCGCATGAAACACCCTGCCGCCTCTGAGTGTTGCCTTCAATGTTTACTTTATATTTACATACGCTCTATCTCTGATATTCAGTTCTTTATTCCATAAATATACCACACCTTAAACGTATATTTCTTCATATATATATATATATATATATATATATATATAAAAAAGTAGAGAGAAACGGAAAACGTTTTTGGTTGTAATGTAGATTTTTAAAAAAATATTATGTTTTTTTTTTATAATTTTGCTACACGTGTTTCCGGTCTCGCGACCGTTATCAGGCAAAACGTGTAGATTTCCACATATTATTAAAATAATTAATATTTTATGTTTTTCGATGTTAAATATTCTCGATATGAGACATTCTCTTTTATATATATATATATATATATATATATATATATATATATATATATATATATATATATTTTTTTTTTCCTCTATTTCCTGTGTGAAATATACGTCCTTATATTTGCGTGCTCATATATTTGCGTATGTATACGTGTTTGTGTATTATGATTGTGAGTGTGTTTGGCCTGTCTTTTGAAAATTTTCTTTCACTACCTACCTCCTTATTTGAATTCTGACTTCCATGTATCTAATATGTGTAGCGATCGGAGATACTTTTTCTATCAGCGTCGAACTTAACTTATAAATTGGCACTTCGCTAAGAACAATAAAATATTTTTTCACCAAATTTCATTTCTGAATAATCTTTAATTATATTAAACTTGATGCTCGGTTAACTTTAGAATTTTACATATGAAATTTTTAATTCTAAACTTAACTGATAAGTTAAAATATTAAAGTTTTATATTGATTTCTAATTTAAATTAATCTAAAGTTTAATGCATTAATAGATTGTACTTATACTAGAGGATGTTGTTATTTTATTTTACATTACTATATACTTGTATACTGTTTGGTCATCATAGGTTACATAACAAAGTTTCCTTTATTGAGAGGGGAGGTCGGTTGTTTTTTGAACTCTTAAAACCGTTTATTTTCCATTCAATATCATCACTTGATTAGGCACCAAAAGTGTTGAAACAAAATTGCAACTTTGTAGTAGTCTTATAACATGCATTTGTTATAAATTTGAATATAAATATATATATATATATATATATGTGTGTGTGTGTGTGTGTGTGTGTGTGTGTGTGTGTGTGTGTATGTATATATATATATATATATATATATATATATGTATATGTGTGTGTGTATCTGTGTGTGTGTGTGTGTGCGTGTGTGTGTGTGTGTGAAAAATATATAGAAAATAGGAAAGGATATTGATACAAATTATTAACACCCTTTTCTTTAAACAATTGCTCTAGACGTTACCATAAAAATTTTGATTTCAATAACGAATATACTTATAAAACGCGTAAATTTCAGAAATAAGTTATTCCAAAAAAATTTCGCTTGAAAATGGAACAGAGCTTACTACTTTAATTCAATTTAATTCAAATAATTATATTGAAGTTTTCGGCTCTTGTTTTGAAACATGAGAACTCTTATGTAGCGTATTGGAATCATATTTTTAAATAAATAATTATATATATATATATATATATATATATATATATATATATATATATATATAGGTACCTCAACTTTTCGTGGAAAACAGCATAGCATAATGAAAAAGGCCACAAACTTAATAAAATAAAGTCAAATTGTTTATGTCATAATTAAGATGAAAGACTAAAGTATTTTTTTTTTAAACAAAATTTAATGTTTTCTTACAGGTTCGAAATTTTGGTTAAAATCTTGTTTTGTTTACTTCATCGCGGTGGTGTAATAATTGCAATGACTTTTTTCCGTTGAAAACACATTGATTTGGAAATTATTGTAATAATCAAATAATTGTCCGATTTCAATTAAATTTTCACAACAGAATGAAACTATTTTTGAAATTTTTGTTTTAGAATATTTCGGTAATAAAATTTCGCAAAAAAACTTTTTATTTCCTGACTTTTTTTATTTGTTAAAATGTAAAAAATCTAATTTTTTTAAAAACTTTCATTATTCTTACTGAAAATCTGCTCTGAATTGTAAATAATAAATGTAATAAAACTATGATATTATTTAATTAGAAAATCTTTTAATTGCTTTTGTAAATAAGTTATATGAAGGACATTATTGTCTGAAGAAATAAAATTTTTCCGATGAATAATGAATTTTTACAAGATATTTTTTTCATTTTTTTTTTTTAATTTTAATTATAATAATTTATAATAATTTAAAATCTTGTAAAATTCTGTAGTGGTCTATTTTCTGGATGTGATATAGTAATTAAGTGGAAAAGAAATTTACGAATCCAAAATTGAAAAGATTAATAATCGTAGTTTTTAAAATATTTTTTTTATTTTTTATATTTTTACTTAATTTGTTCCTTTTTTTATCTATGAAAGGCTAAACGGGACATTATTGTAAAAAGGCCACGTGAGTTTTGTCTCTTTACAGAGAAATTACTTTAAGAAAATTTTATAGTATCTTTAATTTTTTATTTTTGCATAAAGCATCATCGAAAGGTAAATAAAAGTCAATGAATTATTACATAATTGCGGAAAATATGTTCATTTGTAAAAAAAAATTACTAGGTAGTTAAAAACCCCCAAAATGCGTTCACTTTGATTTCGTAAATCTTATGTCAATTCTAGTCAACCATACTAGCTGCCATCGCTTGGTCACTCAATCGTCCATCAGTCATCGCCTCAGATAAACAGGACCAATCATTAACAAATCGTTGTATATTACTTTTTATGCTATAAGTAATATTTATTTCAGATCAGATTAATTTAACTCAAATAACGTGTCAGAAATATATATATATATATATATATATATATATATATATATATATATATATATATTTTGGAAGAGTTTTAAAATCGATAAACTCGTTTTGTTTACAAATTTCTTAAAATTAAGAAAATGGCCGCTTTTAAGAAAATTTTAAGAAATCGAAATTAAATTTGACATTCCAATCTATATAATTTCTACCTGAAATACACCAGAATATTTTACTTACTGGAAATAATAAATTCAATCCTTTAGCTTTCAACTAAAGCTAAAATGAAAACTTCAAGAATGCATTTTCATTTTTTAAAATTCATTTTAAACCTTAGGTATCGAAAATTTATGCCGAAAAAGTGGAGGTACCAAATATATATATATATATGTGTGTGTGTGTGTGTGTGTGTGTGTGTGTGTGTGTGTGTGTGTGTGTGTGTGTGTGTGTCTGAGAGAGAGAGAATGATATGTATTTTTTTATATATAAAGTACAAAATCTTCCAGAGTAAATTATATCCATATTCTTACATCATTCTTTTTTTCGGTAGATCTTCCATTATCACAATGTTGGATATTTAAGACATTTTTTTATGTTTATACGTTCTTTTTATGTCTTTAATAGTTGTCTTAATAATAATTAAAAATGTCTTAAATAATTGTCGGACTTTGTCCATTTCATAATGTTGGATATGTAATAACAAAAGAGATAGAAACGGTCAGAAAAAAAAAAAAACTAAATGAAATCGGCGAGATTATATACCCCAAAAATATATTTTTAAAAAAATAATTTACATTTAAAATTTTCAGCGCCCCATCTCATTCGTGCGCAAGCGTAGTCGCATCAACGTAAACATCACTTGAATCCGATGGAGTTCGAATGGACGAAACGCGTTACACGATAACTTTTCCACTTTATCACAGTCTTTTTCCCTAACATATACCGGGTGTGACAGCAAAATTGTCTAAATCATGTAACTGCATTGGAAAATTGTCCATTCAACAAAAAAAAAAAACTGAGTTTTTTTTCCAGATTTTCAGATAAGACGTTTCGCCATCTTGACATCATTTGTCGTAAGAATCACCTAAAACACTTTGAATTATTCAGCTAGAAAGAGAACAGGTTAAAATCGTTTTGTGTCAGTCCTACTATGTCTTCCTAACTGAGCAATGGTGAGACGAAAAAGATCATTCAGGCCTTCAGTAATGTTGCTCAACTGCTTTCTCGAGAGCCTGTACTTTATAATGCTCCATAAGTTTTCTATGGGGTTGAGATCAGAAAATTGAGGCGGCCATGTCATAACACTCACCTGCTTTTCATCAAACTATTCCTTCATCAATTTTGATTTGTGACAGGGAACATTATCCTGCATAAAAATGATCTTGGTGAGGTCGATTTGTACCCTTTCAGCAGAAGGGAGCAGACAAGACTCTAAAATTCTCTTGTACTGCTCGCTCCTGAGGGTCATTTCAATAGGTTTTAAGAAACCAGTTCCATGAAAAGAAAAGCATCCCCAGAACATTATACTGAACGGATGCTTGACAGTACTTACTGCTAAATTCAAAGAGCTTTCAAAGCTTCTTCTTCGGATTTTAGATCGCTTATCCTTTGAATTTAGCTCAACTTTCGTTTTATCGGAGAAGAGAACATTTAGTAAAAAAAAATCAGGTGAGTCACTTTTATCGAACAGCACTATATATATATATATATATATATATATATATATATAATAAATTTCCAAGGGGGATAGAATAGAAGTAGAGCTCAATGCCCAGGACGAAGTAAGAATATAATATAAAAGACTCAAACACTAATATTCCATGGTTATAATTTATTACATTGGAATCGTAATCACGATCCAATTCAACAGACCTACAAATTAAAAAAGGTCTGATGAAGTGAATCGTGATTACGATTCCAATGTAATAAATTATAACCATGGAATGTTCGTGTTTGAATTTATATCATATCATATTATATATATATATATATATATATATATATATATATATATATATATAGAGAGAGAGAGAGAGAGAGAGAGAGAAAGAAACAGACAGATAGATAGATAGAAAGATAGATGGATAGATAGATAGATAGATAGATAGATTTTAGCAAATATAATTTTGACATATTCTTATCTATATACGAGTCAATAATTGTGGCTAAGTCTTGCATACTTGCAAAATCTCTATTTAAATATAGTATAACACTTGTTCTTTGACTGATTTAGCCAATTTATATCTACCTGCCGACATATACATGCATCTGAATTACACACACACACAATCGCGCATAAATATATATATATATATATATATATATATATATATATATATATACACGCAATTACCTATATAAATGCGTGCGGATATGTTATATATATTTGTTTGTTTAACTTGCATGTTAATATATGCATTCACATGCGTAGCGCATACTTTGGATTAATAATATAATGTGTGTGTGTGTGTGTGTGAGTGTGCATAAATATAGATATATAAATACGTTTTCTTCTTGTTACACTCTCTGTCTCTCTCTGTCTGTCTGTCTCTGTCTCTGTCTCTCTCTCTCTCTCTCTATATATATATATATATATATATATATATATATATAGATAGATAGATAGATAGATAGATAGATAGATATCGATCTCTGCATATTTACTCTTGACATTTTGCCAACTTTTATGTGCAGAAAATCCACGCGACTTCTATTACTAAAAGCGTTTTTTTTCTGTAAACACAAACGCTTCTTTGGAACACTTTGCAGCGGTTAGAGTGTGTCCGGTACTTCAACCACGAAATCCCACCCTCCCAAACCACAGAAATCCCTTTCCCTTCTCTCGTCTAACCAAACATCCCCCACCGCACGTACACACACACACACACACACACACACACACACACACACACACACACACACCAAACGCCCATTCCTCCAGCTTACAAACCTACCTATCGAACTATATTACAAACTCGGCCCATGAACATCCGAACAATTTCCTGCGCTATTTGTGAATTCGCGCCACGCGCTGCGCCAACGTTTCGTCGTAATTGGTTGGTCCTTATAATCACCAAATAAGACGAAACAGTGTCTTCTGATGTCGCTCAGCACTTTCACGTTGGAGCGGTTAACTTTTGAGTGACGATTGGTGAGAAAATAATCGTGTTGGATTTGCCGGTAAAATTGAAAGATAAGGAGGTGTCTGTACACAAGAAGTGGAGGTGGGTACGAAAGAAAGAAAGAAAGAAAGAAAGAAAGAAAGAAAGAAAGAAAGAAAGACATAGAAAAGAAAAGAGAGAAAGAGGTGATTTGAATTGGTTTAGAGGGGTATATGAGTGATGGCCCACCCACTTGTATCCATAACAAGTTGAGAGTGCAGGAGTAAGATATCTGTTTCGTAGATAATGATATGTGATAACTAGGCAGAGAAACAGGGAATAAACAAGCAGATAGATAGATAGATAGATAGATAGATAGATAGAAGCAAACTGAGAGAAAGGAGGGGTGAAGGTAGATAGATAGATAGATAGATAGATAGATAGATAGATAGATAGATAGATAGATAGATAGATCAGTCAGTTGAGAGATGAGAATAGATAGATAGATAGATAGATAGATAGATAGATAGATAGATACGGACTAGGACAGAAGTATGTCTACTTTCAAACATGAAACTACAATTAGAGAGACTGATTCAAAGTCAATTGTATCAATAAGTCGACAGTGAAAGTACCAATGAATTATCTCAATTGGCTAAAAATAAAGTCATAAAAAGCTGATAATAAGACAAAGTTTCATACGCAGAATTTATTGCGATAATTGCATCGAGATGTTTAAATCGAAAACGGAGTGTGATAAAAATTGTAGCTATAAAGGTCCCCACTGGCTTGAATTGCTAAAAGCAATTTGTTTTTTGATCCTTGTCAACAAACATATAACGTCCTGGGTATGACGATAAATTACATCCGCGTCCTGGGTAAGACGATGAACTACGTTCAACAGCAAGACCTCTGATCAGGAGGTTTTGAGGTGGTAGCCCCTGTTAGGGTCCCAACTATGGGCAAATAGTTAACCCCCTAAACTGGGGTCAAAACACTATGAAAGTCTGAAAAATAAGTTTTAATACCAGAAATACTTTATAAAAAATTATTATCATCAATACATTTTTGAAAAAAAAAGAAAAAATATTCTCAACAATAAACATTTTGTCGCCATTAAATAACCCATTGAGGTTTATATGCCGTAAAACAAACCAAACCAAACCAATCAATAAACATATAAATTTTCATGTTTATCTTAATGTCAATTTTGTAGACCAGTTTAAGGTATAATTTACAGACCAGAATAAAGAACCCTGGAATTGCCCAATACTAACAATTTTTGACAATATATATATATATATATATATATATATATATATATATATATATATATGTATGTATGTATAAAAGTGAACATTGAAGACAACAATTAGAGGCGACAGTCTGTTTCATGCTGGATGCAATCGTCAGGCCACGAGTGCTGTTATTTTTCTCGGCTATATATATATATATACGGGTCAGTGGTGCATTGTGGGTAGTCTATTTTGGCGGTTATTTTACCGGAAGTCGTTTATTTGTTCATTTATTTATTTGGGTTAAATTATTTTGCTTGTTTTTATTTATTTTTATTTTTTACTTTTTATTTTTATTTCTCATGTTATCTATTTTTAATTTTATTTTAATCGGTGTTTTTATTAACGTAGTAAAAATATGTTTATATCGCTTATTTAATAGTTTTATTTTGGTTTGAGAAGATAAAGCTTTTTATTCGATTTTGGGGTTGATTGTTGTAGTTTGTTCTGACTATTATTCTGGCGGGAACATTTTTTAGTTTGTTTATTACTTCATGTAATTACTTGGATTGGTTATCTTTATATGTTTTTTTCTAACGGTTAGTTTATCAGGATCATTTTGTTAGTTTATTTATTTATTTGGATGAATTTAGGTCAATTTATTTTACTTGTTATTATTTATTTGTTATACTGTATATTTTCTTTTCGGTTTTAGATTGACGTAGTATTTTTTGTCGTTATATAACAGTTATAGCTATTTATTTCGTCCGATTTTAATTTTGATTTTTATAGTCTAATATTTTGGTCATAATGGTTTGCTAATTTGTTTATTATTTACTTTATTTATTTGGGTTCATTGATTTTTTTCTTATTTTTTATTCTATTTCGTCTATTCTAACAGATGTGATTTGGTAATTTGTTTGGGTTAATTTATTTTGCTTATTTTATTGTCATTTTGTTTATTTATTTATTCTTATTTTATTTTATTTTTTCCGTTTTCGATTTTTAAGTAACGTAGTAAAAATTTGTTTTCATGTCTGCATTTTGAGATGAGCTCGAATCTTTTATTTAATAATTCATTTTGGTCTGGGAAAGTAATGATAGCTATTTTTTCCTCCAAGCAAAGTTTGCAAGATTTTGATTGGTTGTTGTAGACTGATGATCTTTTCCTTATTTTCCAAGATATTTTTGGTGTGATGTGCGTTTTGTTTTTAATTTCCCAGATATACTTAGAAAGCATTGTGCTGTTTGCATATTTACTATTTGTGAAATATGTTTTGTGTGTATAATTTCTTTGTTTCCAGTGTCCTTCAGTTACTCCTATGTATACTTTTTCTTCATTATCTGGTGATTTTATCGTCGCTTGGTATATTACGTTGTTTTGTAAACAATTACCGTTTAAGGGACATCCGTTCTTTATTCTGCAGTTGCACGTGGGATTAATTTGTTCATGTGGTTTCGCTGATTGTTGAGATTATTGATATTGGAGGAAAAAATAGCTAAGAAGTGAGTAGAGTGTGGTCGTCTCACCACACCAAGGAGGTTTCATTAGTGACCACGGCTTGTGCAGCAGGTTTCGGTCAAGACCAACATTCATCATATTCCTCCTGATCTAGCTCCTTACTACTTTTTCTTCTACAAATATCAAATTCCACTTGAAAGGAACAAGATTTCAAGATGTCGACTAAATCCAAACGAATGCGGCGAGTCAGCAAAAAAAAAAGGGAGTTCCAGGAATGCTTCCGTCAATGGAAACGACGCCGGATGAAGTGTGCGGCTTCAGAAAGAAACTACTTCGAAAGAGATCAAATGCCGAATTGATATGTGTTGTAGTTTTCTTTTTATAGCACCAGTCCCGATACATTTTGATCTGACCTAGGATATATATATATATATATATATATATATATATATATGTGTGTGTGTGTGTGTGTGTGTGTGTGTGTGTGTGTGTGTGTATGTAAGTATAATTACTTAATCATTTGCTGTTGAAAAAGTAGTTTAAGTTACCACATTTCAGAATGCAGTTACTAAAACAATTTTTACTACGTTACTTAAAAATCGAAAACTAAAAAAAAATGCCTTATAAAATACCACCATGAAAAGTAAATATATGCGCTATATACAACGCAGGTATTGTAAAATACTTTAGACAAAACAAACACCTTAAACTAAACAAATAAGATAACCAACCCCGAAAAAAATAAAGATAAAATAGTTGTATAATACATTTTAGATGCATCAAGGGTGGTCTTCAGTAATGCACTCTCTTCATCGTCGATTTCGGGTTTTGCTTCATATCGTGTCAAACAGCAACCCCGACCTGAGTCCGGATGAGTCAGGCTACCTCCTTGAAAGCATCGCGCTACGCACTTAGACATCGCAAAAAAAGAAAAATATATCGACATAACTAGGAGTCTAACTGTTCTTATTTAAATACGTCCGTCAACGTCAACCAATCAAAAAAACGCTTTTCACGCTCCCTTCCTATATACTACTGTGTTTTTACTTCCTCCGGTTTCGATTCGAGTTACCTCCCCTGGATTCCTAACTCGATAAGCTGGTCACTTTCTTGCATAGTTTAATGCAAATGTTTCATACCTTTTAAATTGCTAATCCCATAACATTACTAACCCTTTAACTAAACCTACACGCGTACTCAACCCAAATCTATCCTACATTACCACTTATGCCTCACAAAAAAATAAAATAAAATTTTAAATCAATAAATAAAAAAAAAAATAATTGAATAATAAACAAACACATAAACACAACCAAACGTAATAATAATAATCAACAACAAATAATTAAGCAATAAATAACGAGTAAAATTTAGGACACTGTAAAAATAGCTACAGATAACTGCATTCAGATTTACAATTATTTCTACTCAATAGATTCTAGGATATTTTGAAATACAGTAACCGTTAGGATAATGCAATAAATCTTACTACGCATAATGCACCATTTTCCAACATATATAAATAGTTGTGTCAATTCACAATATACATGGCCAGATTATTGTGTTCAAGCATGAAACCGACTGTCGCCGTTTAGTGTTGATTTCAGTGTCCACTTTTATATTTATATTTACATACGCAATATATATATATATATATATAGATAGATAGATAGATAGATAGATATAGGTAACCCTATAGCTTTCCCCTGGGGCTTAACAATTAGATCCTTTGGTTACGGCGCCAACGGTGACGTCGCTCCTCCTGGTCGCTCCTCCTGGGTCCAAGCCAACCCCTTGGTCAGATGATCACCAGCCTCGCCTTTCCCGACTCGCTTCCAATACCTGGTCACTAAAGCAACTGTACCGATCTCCGGTCTGTCTACCCACGCTGTGTTTAGATCTTAGACAGACGGGACCAGCAGGGATTGGGGCCGATACAAGTTGAGTCCGACGGGGGTGGCAAAACACAAATAAAAGAGAAAATAAACTCACGAGACAAAAAAGATTGCTGATGAAAAAAAATGGGTAACAACCTTTTATATCTTAATGTCCGTTACATAAAAACAAAATTGTTCTCATTTCCCAACCCGCTCTGTGGACTATGGCACAAGCTTCTATCACACAACCTAAAGATTTCGAATTGCCTACTCTTTAGAATTGTGTATGTCGGAGTGTGGTTTGGTTCGACACTGGGGCTAATTTCTATCGATCATTCGCAGTTGATTCTTCTCTTCGACTTGAGTTGTATTTCTTCTTCTTCGTCGACTTAGGCTGGAAGTTCTCTTGTCTTCGACTTGGGCTGGAAGTTCTCTTGTCTTCGACTTGGGCTGGAAGGATCTCTTTCGCCTTAGGCTGGACTCTTGTCCGCTTGGGCTGGAAGGATCTCTCTGTCGTCAGCCTTCTTCAACTCTCTGGTCCGATCTCTTCTCGCTGCCGTCCGGGGCTGAACTCTTCTGTCTTCGACTTGGGCTGGAAGGATTTCTTGTCTGAGGATTCTTTTGCCCGCAAAGGGGCGAGTGAATCGGGCCCGATGCCCGCGTTCAGGCTCTATCCCTGCCCGCGGTCCAGCTGCAACTCCAACTCCAACTGATTTCTGTCGACTGGTGTCCTGCTTTTATTGACGCCGCAACAAACTGGGGTGGGTCTGTCGGCGTCAGGGTTTTCTCGATAATTCCAAAAGTCGCATTATTTTTGATTTCTCATTATCGCTATTGTTTTCACCCCTACTTCCTCACAGTGCCTTTTGTGGGGAGGTGCACACCCATCTCTCTTAGTCTCTCGTATGTCAGGTGACCGTTTTTCGACCAATGGTTCCTGATCGGGCATTTCTTTCTCTTCTTTTCT